CAGCCCAGAGCCGAAGCTCACCGGGTTCTGCAGCGCGGCCATGTAGGAGTCACGTTGGCGGCACTTTGGCCCATGTGACTCTGGCTCTTGGCTTATCTCCCTCCCCAGGCACGGGCTGCAGGGACGCTCCTCTGAGCTCAGTGCTCCCCCACAGGGCCAAGAATCTGCTCCTGATGCCCCATTCGCCCAGGGGAGCATCTCATCAGCCCCAGCCTTTATTGTCCCTGGAAGGCAGGTGGGCAGCAGGGATCTGGTCAGGATGTCCAAGTCCTCCTGGGATTGCTCCAGCAGGTCCACATACTCCCCCTCCAGGTTCTGGCTGATGATTTCACTGAGGCTGGGCACAGGCAGTGTGGCCGGCTTCTTCCGCAGACCTGCCTGCTCCACCTTGATCAGTCCTGGGTATCGTCCCTGGCTTGACTTCCGAGAGGTGGCCTTGCAGCCTGGGATGGTGCCCACAACGTTGCTGTAGGGTGTGGGGACATTCACTGTGCCATGGAGCACAAGTGTCCCAGGTGCACTCTCAGGAGCAGATTCGTGCCAGGTCCCAGCGGGCACACTGTCAGCTTCAGCCCTGGGCTTGTCGGTGAACTCAGGCGTGGCAATCCGGCTCCATGGCAGTGGGGTGACGCCGTTCTCGGTGGCCACCAGGCAGGTGTGCAGGGGAGCTCCGGCCCAGCTATTGTTCACCTCCTCCAGCCATGTGTTGGTGAAGAGCAGAGCGTGGGTGGCCTCAGGGACAGGTGTCTCCTCCACGGAGCGCAGGTCCAGGGAGAGGTGTTTGATGGTGACACGCGCTGTGTGCTCCTCACAGGGCTCTGCTTGCAGGTAGAAGTCCCCGGGGCGCAGCAGGAGGGGGTTGAGTGGTGCGAGGTGCACAACCACCTTCTCGTGCAGACACAAGGGCCAGCCTTCATGGAGAAAGATGCGGTTAAAGTAGGGAGCCTGGGAAGGAGGAAGAACACAGTGCATGAGGGAGCCCTGCCAGCTCTGTGCCTCCCAGCCACCCCCACACGCTCTTGCTGCCCGGCCCCGTGCCTCCCATGATTAAGATGAAAGAGCCTGGTGACCCAATGCATGTCCCTGAGCCAAGGCCCTGCAGCACAGCCCTGCAAGCCCACCCTGATTCATGGCTATTCCCACAGTGTGGAGTCTACCCGTGTGCTTACAGAGGAAAAACCCCTGCTTAAGCCTCTCTAGGATCAAGACAAGATGACCCCAGAGTCCCCCTGCCCTTATTGCAGGGACCACATATGCTGGACAAATCCCAGGGAGTTGTTTGTGCCATGGTACCCTCTGTAGGGAGCGGATGGGACAAGGAGTGGACGTGCATGGAGGGAGCCCACAGGGCAGCGTGCCCATGCAGGCAGGACTCCTTGGGGCAAACCCCCGTGTCTGGTAGTGGCTCACGGGGGCACCGTGGTGGGTCACGGGGGCTTACACAGGCCGCCTGCCGCAGGCGCTCGAAGAGCCGCTTGGCGGGGATGAGGAACTGGAGCAGGCAGCAGAGCCCATCCCCCTGGTAGCTGGTCTCCAGCAGCCGAAACACCTGGCCCAGGACGGTGGGAGCCGTGGCTTCGAAGGGCGGGTAGAGGGCCTGGAGAGCACTTTGCACCGCCGCATCCAGGGACCCGGCATCCTGCGGGAGAGAGGCGAGTGTCGCTGGTGGGAGAGTGGCCCCGAAGCAGGGATACGTTCCGCCTGACCCGCTGTCTCTGCCCACCATCCCACGCTGCGCTGTGCCACTGTCGGGGCCCTGGGACGCCCACACTTGCAATACTGCAGAGCTCAGGGGCTCCAAACGCTCCTGGGCTGGAAACGAGAGGAGCCGGGATGGAGCACAGCAAGCACGGCGCAGGCGGGGCGGGTCCCGTTCCCAGCGCCCGGCTGTGGTTAAGGAGCCTGGGATAAACCCAGAGGTTGCAGCCGCCTTGCTCGGCCGCCAGCCATGAGGAGGCGGAGGAGCCGCAGCAGCCGAGGGGTTGAGAGGAGTCAGACCAGACAGATCGTGGGGCTGTGCCGGGCTCCGCAGCTCGCTGCAGGAATGCAGCAGATGGGAGGAAGGACAAACATCTGAAGATGGATATGGTGTTTTGGTCCAGACTCATTGCTGAATTCGCCAAACTCAGAATTATTCCTGTATTTTCTGGGAAGCGTTCTGCCGTGTTGCATCCTCCCACACTGCCCCAGAGCAGGGTGAGGACACTGGGGCTGTGCCGCCTGCGGACCAGCAGTTCCCAGTTCATTCTCTCAGTGCTGCAGGAGCTGGAGGCTGTGTGGCACGGCTGGTACATGGACAAAAGCCATCCCACAGCTCCTGTGATGCCCAGGCTGCGCTCCAGGCAGTGCAGGGATGAGTCTGGCACACCTGTCAAGGCGAGTGGGGAAGAGAAGCATCCTCCAAGCAGACAGGTCCTGCTCCCATAAGAGCACCCAGGAAGACTGGTGGGATTAGCTCAAGGTGAGCATTACTTTCAGGCAGCTAATCCCTGGTCCAGGAGCCCATACAGAGACAAAAGGGCCATGGTTAATTCAGCTTAATTAGTTTTAATGCGCTTTAGCTAAAGCACTTTGCAGTCATGCTCTGGTTAATTATTTCTGACTTTTTTTTCCATGTCTCGGCATAGGAATCTCCTGCCCCTACACCTGACAGGAGAAACCACAGAGCTGGGCAGAAGAGGAGGCAAGCCAGTCCCTTCTCAGGGCCCTGATCTGCCACTGTGTTTCCTGTCCAGGCTTTCTGCCCTTGGACCTTTCTCCTCAAGCTTTGTTCTTATTGTGTACAGCTCCTAGAATGGACTGGAGACCTTACTCTGGAAAATCCCTGATGAAAGGCAAAGCCCAGCACCCCATTCCATACTGCTTCAGTGGAGCCCTGGTGCAGCCACCTGGTCCCCAGTGCTGAACCCAGGCGGGTGCCCACCACCTCCTTGCCCAGCACTACCCAGCTGGACTTCCTCCCTGCCCCAACACTGAGGTGAGAAGCCACAACAGCACAGGAGGATCCATCCAGCTCTGAATGCTGCCATGAGAGATGAGCCAGAACTGCCTGTCTTGCCTCGAACAGTCTTTTAAATCCTGCCACGGGTAGTGACACCCCCATTGCCTGGGCAGCCCGTGCCAATGCTTGACAACTCATTCAGTGAAGAAATTTTTCTCTAGTGTCCAGTCTAACCCTCTTCTGGCACCATTTGAGGCTGTTTCCTGTTGCCTTATCACCCAGGACTTCATCCAGTGGCAGGGACAGCACGAGCCAGTGTCAGGAGAGAACCAGGGACTGATAGAGGCACCAGACACAGCCTGAGATGTGCTGGGGAATATTTTAGCCTGGAATGACTGACTAAAAATGTTTTCATGGAGTTGTTACAAAGCACTTCATCACTGGGGGAGGCTTTTTGGGGTAACCATGGTGCAGCAGCTCCAAGTTTGTCGGCGAAGCTGCATCCGGCCGGCCAGGAGCCCATAGGAATCCAAAAGCAGCCCCTCCACCCACTGGGAGGGAGCTGGAACAAAGGCATTAGGGAGCATAAGGAGATTTACATTTGCAAAGCTATTTCCATTTTAATAAGCCAAAGCGCTGTTAAATAGAGATTGATATTTCTCCCCAAATACCCATATTTTTAAACTGGTTTACATCAACAAGACAATGTGGGCTTTGGGGTTTTGGTGTGGTAAAGTTGTTTAACCCATGCCCGAAGCCACAGAGTGACTCAGCTCCAGCTCCTTTCTCCCCGCTGCTCAGGAAGGAGAGGTTTGAGCCTGGGACCAGTCCTGAATACCAATTCCTCTGGCTGTCACCAGCTTTGGCAGGGCACGATGGAGGCGCTCAGCCCGGCCCAGAGCGGGGGCCGCGCTCAGCGCAGAGCCCGGGGCAACGGCACGTGCCGGCGGCGGTGGGAGCGATCCAAGGGCCCTGCGAGCGTCCCCTGGCACGGCAGCTCCCGGCCGCTGCAGTCATCCCCCTCTCTAACTTTGCAGGGAAGTTTAAGCATCGCAGGATGCAGCCCCGCACACACCTGCCCAAGCGGCCACGGCCTGCTCCACTCCTGATTCCCAGCCTTGCACACCCAATCTCCACCTTCACATCTGTGAACCCTAACCTCTGCCTTCCCACCCACCTCTGCCCTGACACCCACCTCCACACCCACCTCTGCCTTTGCACCTCCCTCCCCCTTCGCTCCCGACCTCCCTGTGCTCCCGCTGCCCACCCCGTGCCCACCCGGTGCCCGCGGGATCGGCAGCCACGGGGAGGGGCAGCGGCACGGAGAGGGATTACCCCAGGGATTACCATGTTTCCCAGGAAGTGGCAGAGGGGCCGGGAGCCGCGGCACAGACCGTCCCGTCCCTCCTCCTCCTCGCAGGCTCTCCCGGCCCGGGGCTCCCGGCCGGTCCCCGTTCCGCCGGCGGCTCTTCCCGGCGCCGGCGCCTCCGGAGCCGCGGGCGGGGGCGGCCCCCGGCGGGATGGGATGGGGTCGGAGTAGAGGGAGAAAGAGACCCCGAGGGGTGCAGGAGGGGACTGTACCGGGGGTCCTCCCCCAGCTCCCGCCGCCCCCTGAGCAGCTGCAGGAGAAGGGTTCTGGAACACACCGGGAACACGCAGAGATATATGGGCATGTGTGTGTACATGTGCATGTGTGTACACATGTGTTTGTACACGTATGCAGATGTGCTCATACAGGCGTTTTTTGTGGGGGTGCCCCTCTTTTCCAACCCACCCAGGGACAGTGTGATTCCTGGGCAGTGGTCTGTGTCCTGGATGCATCCCGTGGCTCCCAGTTCCCATTCCTGAGTTGCCCCAAAAGCGCAGCATCAGGACAGTGAGTGCCTCTCTTGGGACTTCGAACTGTTCCAGGGATGGGAAGGACCTACTGAGAGGCAGGATCATGGGATTCAGCAACCAGAACTGTACAAAAACAACCAGCATAAGAGCCAAAGCCACAGATTTGTTCTCTCCTAAGGCAAAATGCTGCTTCACACAGCCCTGCCAGTCCTGGGCACAGACAGCTCTCCCAACCCCAGGCATGCTGGGCACAGCTCTCCCAGCCCCATACACTGTGGGCACAGCATCACCAGCTCTGCCAGCCCTGCACAACTCCCAGCACTCTCAGCCTCTCTGCGCCTTGCTCAGGCTGCAATCATTTCCACTGTTGCATTCGTGGGAATGGGCTCAAGGCCGGCACTGGGCTGGGAAAGCACCGGGGCGGGTGGGACGGCCTCGGCGTGGGCTGCAGCCTGCCGGGGCTGTCTCGCTAGTGAACATTTGTCCAGGGATCAGCGAGCGGCCAAAGGACACGCTGTGAAAACAAGCCGAGACGGGAGGAGGTGCAGCTGGGCTGCTGGCGTGTGGGAGGGAGGACGGCGCCAGCGAGGCCTTTGCGTTTGCTTCCCATTTCCTTGGGAGCTGCTGAGAGTCTCCCGCTGCCCCTATGGATCACGAGTGCTGGTCCTGTGGGTGGGCAGAGGCTTGGCCATGGCTACCAGGCTGGGGTGCCCAGCTGAGCCCACCGCAGGACTGGCCCTTGGCTCCAAGCCAGCATCCCCAGTGCCAACTGGGACCAACTGGGCAGCATCCCCAGTGCCAGCTGGGACCAGCTTCCCATCCCCACCAGCAGCCAATTGCTCCTGTAATTGTGCTAGTTCACTCAGCATCTTCAGGTTTTTCATAGTTCCTCTAAGTGCAGGGGAAGGTGAACTCAAGGTTGTGACCTTTTCTAATTGCATGGTCACCTCTGAAATGCACCCAAAAGCTGTGGCTCTTGCATCTCTTAATGGATAGCAGGGCCAGGAGAGGGCGTTGAGGGCAGGGAGGAGGACAGTGTGGCTGTGTCCTGGACCAGTACAATGGTTCCTCTGTGGTACTGGTGAGCAGGAAGAGAGAGATATGGAGCTGAGCCCAGAGGGACCCCAACATCCTGCACCTAGAGCAGGAGCTCCCCACCTGCACCTTGAGGTGTTTCTTGCCACCTGTGCTCAGTCAGGACAACCTGCAGAGGTAACTAGCAGGTCCAGCTTTCCATCCCCACATCCCCCAGAGCAGTTCCCCATGCCCTCTGGCCAGCCCCAGACAGCAAGGCTGAGAGTCAGGGTGCTGGGGAACAAGTCCAACAAAAGGCAGAGCTTCTGGGGGCCGCCCAGGAGTCCCTGGGGCCCCTCACCCCATGAGCTCACCCTCCACTGCTGCTCCTGTTCTCCATGTCCTGTTTGTCCTCAGCAGCTGCTGGGACAGGCTGCATGTGGCCTCTTGCCCTGCCCCTCTGCCAGCATAGAGCCACCATTCAGATCCCCCTAGGCTCTGCTCGAGGTCACCATTCTTGCATTTTTATTTTTACTTTTCTGCAAAATCAACCCCTTTGGCTCTCTGTGTCCCCTTTTGTCTCCCACGAGGCTCCCAGACTGTGTCACAAGCTGGCGTGCTGGGAGAGGAGCCCGCCTGTCTGGGGGAATGCAGCCCTTGGAGGGGGAGACACACTGAGTGCAGGGCTGGTCCCAAGGGTCCCCTGGGCTGTCACTGCATGCTGGGGTGGAGGGAGGGTGACAATGATGAGCCCAGCATCAGGGCTGGTCTCTGGGGCTGGCTGCTGGTAGGACCCTGGTGGCTCCTGCCCACATCCCCAATCCAGGGGCCATGCCCACATTGCTGCTGGCTGTGCTCCATGGGGCTCTGAGTCTGTGAGCTCCGGGGTCTCTGGGTGTCCCTGCTGTCTGTGTTGGATGAAGTGGTCAGGGCTGGCGTCAGCAGTGACCCCACACTGGCCCAGAGCCCTCCCAGCTCCAAGAACAGATGAGGCTGGGTCATGCTGAGCCTGCAGCTGGGAAAACAACTGTGGAGGAGCCCCCACATGTTCCTCAGCTGTATTTTTAGTTGCTGCTGGGTCAGAGGCTGTCAGAGACGTGCAGGTGACAGTGGACAGCGTCAGGCTTTGGCACCACGTGCGGTGCAGTGGGCAGGAGCCGCAGCTCCCCACACCTTGATGACAGGGTTACTCCAAGCTCTGGTGAAGTCCCTGTTGGTCTAGGGACAACCACAGTTGCCACACGTCCTGACCACAGCCCGGTTCTGTGGGTGACAATGAACTTATCCTGGCTGAAAATTGGTAAGGGAGGTTTTATTTTGGGCTGACAACTTCTCTTTCCAAGTTCTCTTAAACCCCAGACAGGCTGCTCTCACTTTTCTTGCTGAGACCATGGGTTTTCCCTGGTGTTTCCCCAGCCCACACAGACCTGCCAGTGTGAGGCTGGAGAGCAGCAGCAGTCCTGCCTCTGGCACTGGTACAAGCTGCCCGGGGAATTCCCAGGCTGGTAATGGCACCAGGGAACACAGATGTGTCCGGATTTCCTTGCAGATGGCAAAAATGGCTGGTGTCCTTGCTCACAGCCACAACCCAGCTTCTGTCACCCCTGGGTAACCCCAGCACGTGGCTGCAGGGGGGCTTGAGCCATGGCACACGAGAGAGATGTGGAAAGAGCTGGGACAGGATGGGGAACTGCCCACACGTGCTGAGGAGCGTGTGGGGCCAGAGGGACTTCTGACCTGGGGAGCAGGGGTGGCTATGGACAGTGGAGAGAGGGGTGTTGACCTGCAGTCCTGGGCAAAGGACAGCAGCAGCACAGGACTCCTGCAAGTGCCTGTCCTCCTGGGCTCCTGGTTCCCATGTGACCACTCCCATTCCCTCTCCAGCAGCCTGGGGGAGCCAGCCTTTCCCCGGTGGAGCAGACCCCACACTCCCAGAAGAGGCAGAGTAGCTCAGCAGGAGAAGCCTTTACCTGTCCCAAGGGTTGGGGCCAGCAGGGCAGGATTTCATGTTCCATTCCCTCTGTCACCACTTGCAGGAAGCACTACCGGGACCGGTACATATGTTGAGCTTTAGATGTGGTTTTGGCTGCTCCTTGCCAAACACAGCAGTGTTTGGTCAGAGTTCGGCTCTTTGAAGGCTTGTTTTTCAGTTCAACTTCAAAATTTACTCAAAGCCTGGGGGAAGACTTCCTGGTTTTGTGTCCCCTCTATGCCATTCCTTATACAGTTTCATTTCTCCTTATGGAAGAGTTCTGCTTCCTCCATGCTCTTCCTGAACATCTTGAATGTTGTTTTGTCATGGCCCTTCAGTGAGATGGGATTGTCACCATGGCAGGTTTGGGATCTCCTGCTCTGAACTGAGAAAGATCCGGATAAGAGCTGATGATGGGTGACAGGAAGGGTCTCAATGCCAAGGAGGCTGTGAGTGGGGATTTGGCTTTTGCCTTTCTCCGTTCTTGCATGTTTCTTTCTGGCAAAAGGAGCTCTGGGCACAAGGAACTTGCTCACAGTCTCCAGGCTCCCAGCAGTGCATTGGGCTGGCACTGATGGAGAGTCACAGCCTGTGGGTGGTGATGGTGGGACCCAGCTCTTCCTTGGGTGGTTTGTCCCTCTCTGCAGGCAGCATCCTTGCCATGTCCCTGTTTCTCAGGTCCCAGAGCTGACAGTGACTGCAGTGCCCCTTTGAAAAGCCTTTTTTAGCTGCTCATACAAGCCTGGTGGGCATTTACTGGTTGTCTGCTAGGCAGCCTGCAAGTGACCCTGCTGAAAACTTGTGGGACAAAAGGCAAAGGGGAACAGAACGCCTTGGTCTCTCTTTCCTCGATCTTCACGTGCTGAGTTCCTCTAGCACAAACTACATGGCCTCATCCCTTGGGGTCTCCTGAGGCTGCAGCCCCAAGGGATTGCTGTGCTTGAGCAACAGCTGCGTTTCACAACATCCTTAATTGGCTCAAGGATGTTGCCTCTGGCAGCCAGGACTTCCCTGGATCCTGCTTGAGATCTGCCTGCATCAGCAACCATGGGTTTCCTGTGCCTGGACCCCAACAGGAAATGAAAGTAACTGAATCATTCCTTCTTCCCTCACTTTTGTCCTGTAAAGAAAGACCAGCCAGCCCAGCTCTCTTGGCTGGGGAGGCACAGGGGTGTTCCCCCTTCACACCTGCCTGGCTGCACCCAGCTCCTGCCCCTGTCTCCAGCCATCATGACAAGAGCTGGGACATATCATGCCTCAGCAGTGATGTCTTTGGAGCTTGATCCTGGGGTGATGGATGTTTCCTCATCTCTATGGCTGCTCTGTGCAGGAAGGGGTCTGGAAGTGACTACTGCAGGGCACTGCACTGAAGTAGTGGTGCAGCTGCCCAGCCCAGGCAGGTGCTCCTTTGCCAGCCTGCTGGGTATGGGGGTCCCTGGGATCTGCTCACATGACGTGAGAAGCTGTGACCTGTCTTCTTTAGCCACTGCTGTGCCCCAAGGCTGCTCTGGTGCCTTTGGCAGGTCTGTGGTGCAGCTCACAGAGTAGCCAGGAGAGCCGTGGGACAGGGATAGAGATGGAGAGCAGCAGGGCTGGGACCATGCTCCTGGGCAGCTCAGGCTTTTTCTGGGGGCAGGCTGCAGACATGTGGCTCTGTCAGGCTCAGCTGCCACTGCCAAACCCAGCTCTGCTCCACTGAGCATCCACTGCTGCCACAGGCAGGGATTGCTGGCAATGACAGAAAAATGGAAATGGGGCTGTTGCCTCCCAGTTTCCACTGCTCCTTCCCTGCCTTCAGTGACAGGTACCAGGTGTGCCTCTGTGCTGGGCCATGTGCCCATGGTGCCAGCAGCATAGCAGAGCAGGGTGGTGGCCAAGCAGGAAGTCGTGGGGACGCCCCCCGTGGCTCCGCACACCACTGTGACTAGCAGTTCCCTTTTTGGCAGGGATATAAAGGTGGTGTGGGCTGGGAGAGCCCAGCATAGCCCTGCACTGCAGGAGGCCAGGATGGGAATGCAGAGCGTGGCTGTGGCTTGTGGGGCACTGACCTTGTGCCTGGCACTCACCACTGCCACCAACCCCGGCTTCGTGGTGAGGATCACCCAGGCAGGCTTGGACTACGGTGGGTTCTGCTTCTGATTTCTCTCCTGACAGCTGTGCTGGTGGCAGAGGTGTGGAGCCAGGTACCCTGTGAGAAGTGCAGGGTCCCGGGGCGGGATGGGGGATCCTTGGCCATGGGTGCCCATGTGAGGAGCACAGGGACAGGGTGGGGAAATCCTTGGACAGGGGTGCCAATTGCACCATCAGCCAGGGCTTTCCTTGCTGCATCTGCCTGCCCCCCATGCCACAGCTTGATGGAGCCCCTGCAGAGGGGCCCAGCCCTGTGGGATGTCAGGGAGCTGCAGCCAGGCAGTGTGGGAGGCTGGCACAGCAGGAGGGTGCTGGTCCCACAGCACATCCAAGCCGTGAGCCCTGGAGGAGGGAGCTGCAGAGGAGAGAGGAGTTGGGGAGTTTAGGGAGGGGCAGTGACAGAGATGGATGGGCCCCGTGCTGCTTTTATCGAGGCAGGCAGAGCCCGGCTCCAGCAGAGCACAGTTATGGATTGAAATACACTCTGTGAGAAACAGCTCATTTACCAGGCAGCTCTGCCAGCCGTGTGAGAGAGAACGTGACTCCCCTTCCCAGATGGAGGCTGGGGTGCAGCACCCACTGCTGCTCCCTGGGACACAAGCTCCATCCATCTTCACCTGCTGGCAATGAGCATGGAGCAGCCCAGTGCCTCCGACCTCCCACACACCTCACCTAGTTGGCAGCCTGGACAGTGAGGACTAGGACACCTCTCTCCTTTCTGCAGCCACCACCTAACCCTGGGGCTGCAAGCAGAGCACCAGGCAGCATTGCCTGGGTGCTCACAGTGCTCTGTACATGGAGGTTTACTTTAAATCCAACCTGGGAGGCAGCATCACCTGGATCTCTCATTTGATCCTTCTGCTGCATGCCCGGTGTGTGCTCCAGCCCCTGTAGCAGTGGTGGAGTGACGCTGTCCCTGTGTCCCTGCAGCCCAACAGCAGGCGATCGCGAGCCTGGAGAAGAAGCTGGCCCAGCTGAGGCTGCCAGATATCTCGGGGGATTCTCGTGTCTTGCGTGTGGGGAAGGTACACTATGAGCTCTCCAGGTGAGCCCTGCCAGAGGTGTCTGGAGCCACCCACTGCCCCCTGACCCAGGCAAGGGGCAGGAGGAGTGGGGAGGTTGGGGCCCCCGGAGCAGTGAGGACTATCCTGTCCCCTCCACAGATCCCTGACATGTTGGCCCTGTCCATCCTGCTTGCCCTCCTTCCACCCCTGATTTTCTCCCTCCCTCCCTAGCTTTGTGTTTGGGAGTGTGGAACCACTGTAACATGACTTTCCTTTTTATTTGTCTATTTTTAGGTTGCGCCTTCGTGATTTCCACTTGCCGTACTCCCGGATTACCCCAATCTCCAACAAGGGCCTGCAGGTCTCCATCTCCAATGCCTTTGCCGAGCTGGACGGGGACTGGCGGGTGAAGTTTCTCTTTATGTGAGTGGCCAGCTCTTCCTCTCCCTATTCAGGCACCCATTCTGTGTCTCCCACCCTGGAATTGGACAGGTTTTTTCTCCTCTCCCTCTCCCTTGTGCTTTGGGCTGTCACTTTGCTCCCCCTGGTATGATGGATAAAACAGGCTGGGAGGCAGAAACAAGGCATGTGAAAGGAGAGCTATACATGAATCTTCAGGTCTCTCTTCCACCACCCCTCCTTGCTCTCTCACTCCTCTCTGTGTAAAAGTTATCTGTCCTAGTTTATGTGCCAGTGAAATTTGGTTCCCCTGAATTTAAACATTTTCTCAATCTTCTCTGGATGCACCATACAAGGGGGCGACTGATCCAGATTGATGCATCCTCAAGTAGATTTGAGGTCTCTTCACCAGGCCTTGGCATTTACAAACTTCCCTTTCTCATCCCCCTCCACCAGCAGCCGAGACCATGGATCTTTTGACCTGAAGGTGGAAAATATCTACATCAAAATTCTCCTGAGGCTGGGCAGTGACACCTCTGGGAAGCCCACCATCAGCACCCCGGACTGCAGTGCCCACATCTCCAAAGTCCGGGTGCTCTTTTCGGGCAAGCTTGGGTATGTGACTTTACTGGAAGGTGTGAAAACACTGTGTGTTAGCCCACCTGCCATGGGAATGTGGTTCTGCCATTGGAACGTGGCCCTTGTGTGAGGAGTATGTTGTTTGCAAATCTGATGTTGCCTGGTCTTAAATCTGGCCTGAATTTCTCCTGCTGTGGCTGCACATTTAAGGGGGTTGGTGGGGTTTACCAGTGAGTCTGTTTTCAAATGTAAACCCTGAGACAAAGCCAGATGCCCAATTGGTGTGGGAATGATGTTCCCAGGGACTTGCCATCTCTAGGCTCTCCCTTTCCTGGCCACATCCTTCTGCAGTATGGATCTGAGCTAGACAGGGCTTCTCTCTGTGTTTCTCTGCAGGTGGCTTTACAACCTGTTCCACAGTGTTATTGAGTCCAGGTTGCGAAAGATTTTGGAAAACAAGGTATGTGAGCAGTGGAGGGCAGGGCCCTGGGTTTTCTGGTGGTCTTTAACCCTCACTTGTGGCTGATGTGCTGGAAGGATCAGAGGCAGGGATATCAGAGGTAGGCATGGAACTACAGCCAGAGCACATGGCTGTATTGCCAATTCAATAAAATCAAAGGAATGGGCGTCGCAGGCTCCATAGGATGGATTGACTCAGGCTGAATTTGAAACCTGGAGACTTTGCCAAAGCCCAGCATAACTGGTTCCTAATTAACAAAGACTTTTCTTTCCATGTGGTCAGTTAATTAGATCTTATGTCTCAGCCAAATTCATTGTAACCTGATCAGAGCTGTCCTTTAACCAGCCATATTCTGGAGGGCTTTGGGGAGCACTTGGGGGGAAATTCTCATTCCTGGATTTCAGACATTTGGTGTTTTGTTTTACTGAGGGGGGTCAGGGAGCTCTGGTACTGCTGACTACTACAGACACTGACGTGCAGGAGACCTGCAACAAGACATGGAAACAAGCTGTTAGCAATAATTACTACAAGGATAACTGGCATGAGTTACAGCCTCTCTGGATGTGAACCTTGCTTGGGAAGGAGGCAGTTGGAGAACAGGCAAATCCCATTCCTGCAGCAGATCCCATCCTGCCCAGGCACTATTCCCAATTCCATGCAACACCGTTCCCTAGTCCCCTGGGGTCTGTGGCAGCAGATGGTCTGGCAGCAGGAGCAACACCAGGGCTCAGAGGCCTTTTCTGCTCTTTTGTCACCTGGAAGGAGGACAGCTCTGGGACTGCAAAGGGACCCCACTGCCCTCTACTCCTCCTCCAAACTCCCTCTGTCCCACACACATTCTTCATTGTCTTTGTGGAGTCATGGTGTGAGGGGCAGGAGAGGGCAGGAGCAGGGACTGAGCTGCACCCTGGGCACAGCTGGGCCTCAGCCCAGGCCAGGCAGCCTGTGTCTGCCTCCTGCTGTTGCTGCAATGCTTGGGCAGTCCCAGTACCTCCAGTTCTGGGACTCCACTCACAGGGAGATCCCCGTCACAGGGAAATCAGGTCACAGGGAAATGCGGGTCATGGGGAAATCCCGGTCACTGGGACTGCATTCTTCTGCCTGCAGCGACATCCTCACAGGCAGCAATGGAGCATTTCCAGCACAGACAGAAAAATATCACTGGGGACAGGGAAGAGCTGCAACCTGCTGTCACTAAGGCCATGCCCAAAGCTGTGTTGCCTCCTCCTCCTCATCTCTGTCAGTGTGGTCGCTGCCGCTCTGCAGCGCTGCATCTCACCATCAGCTCTGTGGGCAGCATGCCCAGTCAGACAGATGACAGACAGATCCTGCCCGTGGTTCCTGTGATGTTACAGTGAAAACATAGAGAAGAGCTTGTGCAGATTTCCTCAGCCATCTGCAGAGCAGTGCCCTGCAGTAAATTTCCCAGGGTAGTGATAAGCCTGCAATAAAATCCCCACAAATGCCAGGGCTTCACTTGCGGATGGCAGAGGCAGAGGGATGCACTCTCCTGTCTTGGCACACAGAGCTGTAGGAGCTCAGCAAAGCTCAGCTTCAGAGCAGTCAGTGCTCCAGCCACTGCGGGTGGGTTAATCCTCTCTGTTGCTCCTTCTCGGCCACACCCTGGCTGCTCAGCACGGTTCATTCCTGCATGGGCCACATGAGATTCCCCTTCCAAGGGTCTCCCCAGAGCTGAACTGGGCCGAGGGGAAATTGCTGCAAGCAGATGCTTGTAGGTATAAACCCGTCTTGTGTCTTGGACACTTAATGTGCTTCCTGATGAATGGAGGCAATCATCCCTGTGCTTATTTACTTAAACAGTCTTTGTCATGGAGCTGGGAGTGTGGCTGTGACCCGGCTGCCCCTGCTCAGCTCTGTGGCATTTCTGTCCCACAGGTGTGTGACAAAGTGGCCATGTCTGTGTACAATGAGCTCCAGACGTACATTCGGACACTGCCAGGTACTGGGGGGATATATGTGGATTTAGGAGCAGTTCTTCCTAGTTTACCCAGCCCTGAGGAATGTTTTACTTTGTGTCTGCTCCCCATGTCCTGGTGTTAAGGCATCCAAGCTGGGAGCTGGAGAGCACATTCTTAGCAGACAACATCACTGTGTGTCCTGTCTGGCTGTGGAAATTACTTCAGGATTTGTGCCCATAGACTTGGGGGGCTCGGGCTGCTTTAGCTGGGGGACCCTGGCCACTCCTCAGGTCAAGGAGATGGTTTACATTGCTGAGAAATATTGAGGAGGAAAATTATTTATTCCCTTCTAAAGAGAAGCAATCAGAGGAGAAATCGGTAGTGAGTTGAAGCACCAGGAAGCCATCTCCATACTCATCTCTCTTCCTTGTGTTTGCAGTCACAGCCAGGATAGATAACAAGATTGGGATTGATTATTCCTTGGTGGCACCCCCAAGAGCTACAACCAAGTCCCTGGATGCAGACCTGAAGGTGAGAGGCAGCCCTGGGAACCCTTGATTTGGCCAATGCCATTGCCAAAGGCAGGTGACAGCCAAGGTTTTG